CCACGCAACATTGTTAGGCAGACATTTGTGTGCTTCTGGAGCTGATTTATACAATAATTTGTCTAATGTATTTTTTTAAATAATTTTTAAAAAATTTATTTTATTAAAGTTTGATGTCGACGTAGAAGCTGGAAGGTTACAAATTTATCATCGTTATTGTTTAGAAAGGGCAGCTGTTAATATTGCTGATGTATTTACTACTGTTAGGTTAGTTTTTTGAATTTTATTTTAATTTAAAAAATATTTTTGTGGAAATTATTCCTTTTCTTGGTTCCGTATAACGGATCTGCCAACATAAAAATTAATTCTCGATTTTGAAAATTCTTGATTTTTAAATAAATTTGGGGTTTGTACCAATTCTATAAGTGGAATTTTGTCTCCAAAAATTTTAGAAAATTCTTGGATTTAATAGTGAATGGTACTTATTGGGATCCAAGTCATATTTTTTAATTTTTTAAATAAAAGTCAGTACTTAAAAATTTTAAGTGAAATCACTGGATTAGAAGCCGAATATTTGTTAAAACGAAAACCTGATATTCTCACTCCAAATGGATTAAATGTTGTTAAATTTGCTGCATTACACGAATTTCAAGTAATTTTTAAAAAATTTTTTGTAATTATTTGTAAGCATTTTATACAGTCGGACCTCATTATAAGACATTCTCTTTGGGCTAAAAAATTATGTCCTATAATGTGTGTATATTAAATAAGAAGTATAGTAATGTTCCCTCACCCTACGAAAGTTTGCCTGTCCCTCATACCCGAGTAGTTGTTTGGCGAAGCAGATTTAAAGAAGTGAAAGCCGAAACCTCGAGTACGAGAAATCAAAAGGCGAAAGCCCCAAAGTCATTACCTAGGTATCTTCAACCAAGTAATCTTAAGTTGAGGTGTATTTTGTATTGGATGTATATTATAATGAGGTTCTATGCATAAAATGTTTTTAAATATTTCGGTCTTTTATTTATTTTAATTTCAGAATTTACACGCTCAAAATAAAGAGAAAATTCATGATTTTATTCGTGGCCATTTTTATGGGTATTTTTTTAAAATTTTGTACTTTTTAAATTTAAATTTTTATTTAAAGACATATGAATTTTGATTTGGAAAAAGTTCTCTACTTTTTTACTGCTGGACGTTATGAATTTAGCAATAAAGGAGGAGATTTCTTTATTGAAGCATTGGCTTCTTTAAATCATATGCTTCAGGTTTTTTTCAATTTAAAAAATTTTTTAAATTTGCCGGATGGTAATTGAGGATATTAGGGTTGTCATTTTAATTTATCAAAAAATCTAACGGGACAGAACGTTCTCAATAATGTAAGGAAAAAGGGTTATCTAGTTGGTTAGCATTTAAAACGTTTACTATGGGGATTTAAGATTAATTAAGCAAGAAATTGGTGAACTTGAGTACCTTCAATGCACCTACCAACTGCTAAGGGGTTGCAGGATCGATGCCTACTTGGGATGCCTACTTTGCCTTTTCTCTTTCTCAAGGAATTTAGGTATTCGATTCAGCTCAACGAGCTTGGAGAATTTATTTTGCGGACAAATTTTTATGTTAAAAATGTGGGATATTTCTTAAAAAATTTTCCTTTTTTAAAAATTTTTTTTTAATTTAAGACATCAACCGAAAAACGCGTTAGTGGAGTGACCGTTGTAGCTTTCATCATTTATCCTGCAGCAGCTCACTCTTTTAATGTTGATACTTTGCGTGGACAGGCTGTGTAAATTAATTTAAGATTTTGTTTTTATTCAGATTTCCTTTTAAAGTTGTAAACAATTGCGAGAAACTATAGTTAAATTGAAGGAGAATATGGCTTCGAGGCTTTTTGATTCGTGTTTGAGGTTTTTTTGGATTTATTTGACCGATTTATAATTAAAAATACAGCTGGCCCCTCCGCTCCCCCTTCAATAATAAATATTTAAAATACCCCCAATTTATGATACCCCCATTATAAGGGGGTAGAGGTATGATTTTTCTGAGCCCGGAGATTGTATAATTTTAAGATTAAAAATTTGAAAATCGAGAATTTTTATGAACCCAAAACTAAATAAAAATACTTCTAAAATTTTTTTTAGAGGACGAATTCCAGACATGGAAGAATTATTATTGCCTGCAGAGCGTGTACAATTAAAACGTTGTATTCTTTCTTCAAAGCGTGACACTCTTCCACCAATTTGTACTCACAATATGGTTGATGACGTTTCCGATCCAGTTTTGAATGCATTTAGACGATGCCAACTTTTTAATTATGATCATGATAGGGTTAAGGTTTGGAGGATTTTTTTAATTTTAAGGGTGGAAATAGAAAAATAATGGGAGTCTTGTAAATGGGCCACGACCAGATAGTTGAGTACATAAATATATGAGGGGGATGGGGCGATATTTAAGAATTGAGAAGAGGACTAACAATAAACAGACTAACAATAAATCCTTATCCTACTCTTCTTCTCTTGGATTTTTATTATCAAACTTTTTTGTGGAGCTCACTTAATTTTTCATAAATTTCGCTTAAAAAACAACCTTAACTTCTAAACCAGAATAAAAAGTTCGTGAAGGGTAACCTGATACATCCCTATTTTAAACACAGGATGAAGAGAATCCTTAACTTTTTTTGTTTTTTCAAGAGTTTTTGGAAAATTAATTTTGAGTGATTAATTTGCGTTAAATTTTGTTAAAAAAAAAATAATTTTTTTTTACTTTTAGGTTGTTTTCCACCCAGAATTTCTCAGTTCTGTTTCGCCTCTTATTGGGCTAGATTATGAAGATTTTGTTCGCGGATGTCATTTGGGAGTGTTTCCTTCTTATTATGAACCGTGGGGATATACACCCGGTAATTATTTTGATTAAATAATTTTTTATACAATGACCTCGCTATAAGATACCCTCAATATTAGATACACCTCTATTTAAGAAACACTTTTTAAAATTTAGTTGGTGACTGTGTGAGGTGAATAATACCCCGGGGAGATGTAATGTGAGGGGAACCTTTGTTGTGTGTGAAGGGTACATTCTTGATAAAGCCTCTATTTAAGATACACCTAATTATAAGGTATGATTTTTCAATCTCAAGAGGGTATCTTATATTGAGGTCTGACTCTTCTTTATTTTTCTAGCCGAATGTACTGTAATGGGAGTACCATCAGTAACAACAAATTTATCAGGATTTGGTTCTTTTATAGAAAAACAAATTCCAGACCATGACAATTACGGTCTTTATATTGTTGACAGAAAAAATAAAACTTCAAATGAATCTATTCGACAATTGTCACAAGTTTTGTTTAATTATTGGTGAGTTTACATATTTTGTTTGAAGATTGTAGTTTAAAATGTCTTGTGTAAGGCTTGCGTAGTTTTCCTTACAAACGCATTAAAAAACCTGTGATCGGTTAACTACCCTTTTATTTAAGAGTTCAGATTAGGCCCTATCCAGCTATTTTCTGGTTGTGAGAGATGGATTGGCCGTTTTATTTTATTTATTCCTAAGAATGGGCCCTATATTGTCACAATATATCATTAATTTATTGCAGCCTTATTGTTATTCTGTGTGGTTAAGTGGATTTGTCTTTAGAATTTAAGGGAATTTTTTCCATAAAATTTTAATGGGCGATGATGATTAAAATGTCTGATACGAGAAGCAAATTCATAAAATAAAGAGCTTCAATGAAATCTAATTCGTACTGTTTGAGCCCTCAGAAATTGAAAAATTTTTAAATTTATCTTGCTCTTGAGGGCAAGCATCTCTCTCTTTAAATCCATTTTTCGTAAATTAAGCAGGCCTGAAAATTAGTTTTACCGTATTTACTCGATTAATTCCCCTCCCTCGATTAATTCCCCATGCCACGGATGGGTTGATGACCCTATATATGATGACCCTATATATGACCACGGATGGGTTGAAACAATAATTCCCCTCCCTTGAATAATTCCCCTCCCTCAAAACTACTATCGGGTTTGAAACAAGCAATCTTATCGTCATCTGAACAGTCGAGTGAGTCGAGAGTCGTGTACACATGGATCAGAGTATTTAAAAGCTGTGAAAGGTTAAATGAATTTGATTTATAGCATAAGTATCGGAGGATTAGAGGATAGCAGTGAATTTGCACGGATATCAGGAATATTAGAGGATTTGAACGTATATAAGAAAGGGTATCAGGGGATGAAGGAGTCGAGATTTTATTCAAATAGTTTGCTTGTATTAATTTAATACTTTATCAGCAAATATACTACTTTGACCCATGTGTAATTTTTGGGGTAAGCAAAAAGATAGCCCAAGAAGAATAGAATGTTGTGAGATAATGCGATGGTACAAAAAATAATATACATATAAAGTACAACCATGTAAGTTTATATGGCTCCATACTTGGTGATAGTATCGTATGATGACCCTATATATGACCCCTCATGTGGTGCTATAATCCTAATACCCCCATATTCTAGTATATAAAGAACTAAGTAACCATATGCAAGTTTATATGGATCCGTAATGGGGAATATATCCATGTTTTATACTATAAAATAGTAGATAAAGAAAATAGAACGTCAAAACTTCATGCGGTTTTTTAAATTCATGAATGGGTTGAATTAATAATTCCCCTCCCTCGAATAATTCCCCTCCCTCGATTAATTCCCCATGCCACGGATGGGTTGAAAAAATAATTCCCCAGGGGAATTAATCGAGTAAATACGGTATCCTAACAGATAAAGTACTAGTCGGTGGTGGGATCTCCGAATTTTCCTTGGATCGGAGATGCTTTCCTAATCAAATTCTATCCAATTTTTTTTGCTAATTTTCTGGGATGGAGCTGTTCTATTAAATTTTATTTTTCAATATTTCAGTACTTATTCAAGACGTCAACGTGTAATAATACGTAATAGAGCTGAACGTGTTAGTGAACTTTTGGATTGGAAAACACTTGGAGGGGTAAAAAATAAAGAGATTTTTTTGAAAATTAGAACATTTCTTCCTCTTTTTTTAGTTGTATCGCGAAGCTCGTCGAATGGCATTAAAAAAGATTTATCCAGATTTGGAAATGAGAACTTCAGAATTGTTGGCAAAAATGCCACGTCCTTTATCCGCTTCGAGCACACCAGTTCATAGCGATTTAGAAACTGATTCTGACACTGAGGAACAACAAGAACACGAGGTGAGGAGGGAGAGAGAAAAGATAATTTATTCAAAGAAGTTTTTTTGAGTTTAATTAATCGGAGACGGTTCCAAGAAAGCTGGGAGGGCTGTATTTCTGAATTTTGTTTAGAAGAATTTTTTTCTGAATTAAATTAGATTTTGGAATTTTAAAGCTCTAAAAATGAATTTTATAATCCCTCAAAAATTTTTTACAGAAAGACTGGAATTTGATAATTTTATAATCCAGTATTTTATCCATATCTTATATACTACCTTTAGTCATAACAAATCAGAAAACCCCTGCAAAAATATTTTTTTATTTTAATTTCTCTTTTAATTTTGTAGAATTTGGCCTGGAATGATGCTTCCTAAAGAAACCTGTTGTTTTTTGATAGGGTAATAATTAAAAGATTAATTAGTTTATATACTAAAGTGACACATTTCTATTTTATAATTAATTTCTAGTGACTTAATAATTTTTTAAAAATTTTTTATAAGCTCAATTATGTACAGTCGATTCCATTTATGGTGTCCCAGGGAAGGGTTTAAGTAGTGCCGACCAGTGATATTTTGTTTGGACCCGAAAAATCCTGGAATTTCTGTCCTACCGAAACTTTTAGCGGAACATTATGGTGTGGTTAAATGTTGCCAGCTTCCCCGAATGTTTCGGCTAACCGTACGAAAATTTTTTGGGTTTCCTTTTCATTTTTAAACCTAAACCTCTATTTATGGCATTATTGAAGGGTCTGTTACTTTTTGGAGAATAAACTTGGGTGTAAATCGTTCATCCCTGTTATCTTCTGGAGAATTCTTTTATCCCCCCTTTTGATTCACTATACCGGGAATGGACTATTACTAGTATAGATATTCTCTCAGTTTGTTAATTTTTAAAAGTCTAATTTTTATAATAGCTCACTTAAAAATAAATAATAATTTTTATAGCAGGAATATTCTTTTTAACAAATTTTTGAATAAAAATAATTCTTCAAGTTCAAGCCCCCCTGCTATTTAAATAATTTTAATTTTAAAATTTAACTAACTCTCTTAAAACTAAATTCAAAATTTAACTCATGGTGACATATTTTTAAAAATAAATAAATATATTAAATAGAGATTGAACTTTTTGCATTAATTCTGACTTAAAATTTTGTTATTTTGACTGATCATTCAAAGGCATTTTTTCTATTACCACGAGTACCTCGAAGTCTATAAATGATTTTTTCGTCGAAATCTAAAATCTCTAAAATTAACGGGAGTTGGATAGTTTAAATTTCTCTTTTTAATTTAAAAAATATAAAATAGATAGAACCAGCAGCTAATCAAATAAATTGAGCCAACGTCAAATAAACAAAAAACTTCAAACTTCATTTTTTATTACACGTCAACGTGTAATAAAATACGTAATAGAGCTGAACCTGAACTTTTGGATTGGAAAACACTTGGAGGGGTAAAAAATAAAGAAATTAAAGAGATCTTCGAATTTTTAATGAGAAAATTTCAAAAATGATATAAAAATAGAGCACCGTTCGAACAGCTAGGCGGTACCTTGGGGGTGTACTTCTTAAAATTATCTAAAAATCACTTGACCTTCAGACAGGTTCTCACCACAGATCGTTTTGTTTTTCAAGTTCGAATTGTGCCATTATCTGCACTTTTTATAGATCTGGACCTGGATTTTCAAATAATTTCTTTATAAAAAATTAGAAAAAATATCCAAATTTCTAGTATAAAATTGAGCAAATGGCGGGACATTTAAAACCGAATGACTTAAAATAAGGGTTATTGGGGGATATTAGGAAGGATATCAGTGGATTTGGAGTTATATCGAGGGATAAAAGTGGACTTTAGCGATTAAGGGGGATATCGAAAAATTTATAGGAATTAAAAAGGATATCGACGATTGGGGAATTAGTAGGGATGTCAGGGTATTTGGGAATTAAAAGCGATATTGGGAGGTTTGTGGGGATAAAATTGGATTTTGTGGTGTTTGAAGGGTATAAAAGAAATATCAATTGATTTTTTGGAGTGTAGGTTTAATGGGATTTAGGGAACCTTGGGGTGATTTTTGGATTAGAGGTTATCTCTTGATCACTCTTAATCAAAATCACCTAATATGACTCAACCTTCATTATTCCCTCAAATTCTTTTATCCAACCTTAACTCAATGATATCTTTTAAATCCACATTGATAAATCAGTACCCATTTTATCATCAATATCAATCAATTTATATCCCTCAAATCCACTTTTACTACACCAATTTATTTCCTCAATACTCGACAAATTTTAGTAATAAAATAGTAAATAAAATAATTCAATGAGTAATTGAATCTCTTTTATTATTTTTTCAAATATAGGGGGAAATATTTTAGGGGGGAGTATTATTTAATGGGGGAGTACTAATTGAAGAGGGAGTACTAATTGAGGGAGGAGTACTATTTTTCAACCCTCATCCAAAGGGGAGTATTATTAAAGGGGGAGTGCTAATTCGGCAGGGAGTACTATTTCAGGAAATATGGTAATTATATTTTAAATTTTGTTTAAAGTTAAGGAATTATTTTCTTTAACAATTTTGCTGCGTTTTTCGTTGTTTGTAATGTTTGCTGAAAGAGAATTCAGAAGTATTGCGCTTAGTCATTGTTTTTCAAAACTACTGATAAGGAATACCGATAAATAACGAAAAATACGGCCGTATACGGTACGGTCCGGGCTCTATTTTAAATACTATTAGACATAAAAAAATCTCGAAAATTATTCTACTTAATCGGTATTTATCTAGTTTTTTTCTTTCAAAAATGTCGGTAAGAAATTATAATACACGGCTTTCATTTAAAGGAATTTAACTTATTGCGAATAGGAGTACATCCACCCAACGTTATCCCAGGTAACGTTTAGTAATTTACAAATTGCGGAAGCAATGTATAGGTACCACGAGCACCACGAAGTCTATAAATCATTTATTCGTCGAAATCTAAATTCTCTAAAATTAACGAGAGTTGGATAGTTTAAATTTCTCTTTTTAATTTAAAACATATAAAATAGAGGTAGTAGCTAATCACGTAAATTTAGCCAACGTCAAATAAAATGCCTGCCTTACTGAATAAACAAAAAAATTTATTTTTTAGAGGAAATAAAATTCTTTTTTGAGGGAAAAAATTTTTCCCTCAAAAATTCTCTAAAAGTGTTTTAGGGAATTTTAAAATTAAACAGAAATTTTTATTTGGCAATTTTTAAATAAACATAAGGGTAAATAAATAATTGGCCGAATATAAAAAGGTAGCTATTTTTATCATCAAATAAACCAAAAATAAATATTTTTATTAAATTAATTCCAAGTATTTTTACATCCAAAAATGTTTAAATCCTCTCTTTTATTTGCCGCCTTCCTTTTTACTATTTTACTCGTTTCTGATAAATTTACTCAAATTTCTGCTCAACGCATACCTAATCCAGCACCTAGACCAGGTGATAAAGATCCCTGTGTGGGCAAATGTAATGCATTCCAAACATGCTGTCCTGTAAGCCATCCATCTGATGGTGCAATTACGTAAATTTTTATTTTGTTAAAATATGTATAGGGGGATTGTCCGTCCTATTTAAGAAGGGGAAGTGGATTGCGCGGATTAGGCTGATCGAACACAAAGATGGAAGAGAGCTAGAAAGGACCCGCGCGTGCTATAACCAAATTTTTAAATAATTATATAACAGGACAAAAGTCACGGCGTATAGGTTCTCGGCATCGTGATATGATATTTCGTGATACCGTTTAAGATACCCATTTCTTTAAGCTCTTATAGTGAAGTATGAATATATAGTGTAAAGTGTATGGCTATTTAATTCCTAATTCCTTGCATAAGGCGGTGTGGTGTCTGTTTAACTGTAGGTGCTGGTTCACTCCCAGCAGCCTAATCTTTCGTAATCTTTTAGTTTAAGGGGCAATAGTTAGCCTATTTCAGCTTTATTATATTAATTTAAAAAATATACATACATATATTTAGTTGCTGCAAGAATGGTTGCGATACTTTTAATGGAGGTTGTAATCCAGAGGTAGCGAGAAAGAATCTTTTTTTTAATTAAATTTTGTTTTAAGAGACCAGGAAAATAAATTTTTGATGAAAGAAAAAGAAGAGAAGAATAAAAGAAAAAAGAAAATTTTGGTGGAATTGAGCAATATGTAAATATATAAAAATTTAAAATTCAATAATAATTCTGCCGTTTAAGAATATTTAAATTAAGCGGTCAAACAAGAAGACTATTAATGTACACTCTAAAACATTTAAATAAATTGCAAGTATATACAAAAATATAATTTTAAATTCCAATTACTGACTTTCAATTGTAACCTTATCGAATCATTCAATAAATAATTTAAATGTCTTTAATAAATTTATGATTTTATTAGTAATTTAGGCGGAGATATATAATAAATAAATATAAATTCCGCTTAGCAATTCAAGCGGAATTTAATTAAGTATAAAAGGCAAGTCGCCTTCTCTTATATCATTTTTAATTAATCGGTCAACCAACAAGAATAATAATTTTCCACTTTTGATATACTCTTCTTCTTCCCTATAAAATTAACCCCATGAAACTAATTGTTATTCTTATTTTTTTATTAATAATTTTTAATATTGTCTTTGATACTTCTTCTAAATTAACATCTGAAGTTGATAATAGCCGTCATCTTAAGAAAATAGTATGTATTATTTTGCTTTAATTTCTCTTTGATGCTTGCCCCTAAATGAGTATTATTGGAAGGCTCCCGGAGATTTGGGGAGTGGACACTTGGGGAGTGGACATTAGGGGAGTAGATAAATGGGGAGTGAGCGGACAATTGGGGAGTGGACATTTGGGAAGTAGCATAACGATAAAAATACAAGGAATATTAAATAGTTTTTCTTGCTTTTGTATTTAAAAAATGGTTACGTATAAGTTCACCGGAGATAAAAGTTTGGGAATATGTCATTCGATTCGTCTCGGCGAGCTGAGTCGAACTCCAATTTTCGAAAAAAAAACTCAAACTCCAATTTCGGAAAAAAATCCAACTCCCTATTTCAGGAAATGATTCTGAACCGAGTTCTAGGTAAATTGAAAAACAATAGTGGGAGGGGGTAAGCTCGATTTTGGAGTAAAAAATTCGAATATGCAAGTAATAGCTCATTCGAAAGAGCTTTCGATCTGAGTCGAATGACACTAAAATTAGCTTGATTAACCAAGTTTGAGTCGAGATATAGGGCTCGAAATGGTCAAATACCAATGGTGGGATTTTAGAGTCAAAAATTCGAAAAAACATATAATAGCTCATTCGAGAGATTCCTAATTTATTTTTTTAAATACAAAAGCAATAAAAACTATTTAATATTTTATTGTATTTTTATCGTTAGGCTACTCCCCAAATGTCCACTCCCCAATTGTCCGCTCACTCCCCATTTATCCACTCCCCATTTATCCACTCCCCAAGTGTCCACTCCCCAAATTTCCGGACACGTATTGGAAGGAAGCTTTTTAACACTTCCAATGTTTTTTGGAGAGTTATTACTAGATGCTCCTCTCTACAGACTGAGCTACCGGGAGATAATTTTGCTTTTTCTCTTACAAAACTTAAACCCTCAGCTTAGCCTGGACATTCCCTCCCTTAAAGTTAGCATCGAACAGATGAATGGGTGAGATTGTGGAGGTTATTTATACCAACTAGTAATCCCAATTAATTTTATTCTTTTTAAATTTTAGTGTGAAGTAGAAAAGGAAGAGGACGACTCAGTTATTCAAGAGAAAATTGATTACTGTAACGATGCAGTCTACATAGCGGTTGGATCTGCAGAGACTAGCTGCAAACGCCTTTCGAGAGCAGCAATGCATCTCAACTGCAATTCAACAATTTTCGATTTATTTCTTAATATATCCACAATTGAGGAGTCTTGTATAAAAGCTTTGGAATATTCCATTGATGATGTACCGTGTCGATTAAATACTACAGACAGTCATTGTTGTCAAGAAATAACGACAAGTGTTGTCAAATCAGTGGAACCTTTTTGTCATAATTTGGCAGTCTCTGCCTTTAACTTTGCAAAATCTTTATGTAAAATACCAAAGAATATCGCTATTGCAAGTACCAAGGAAGGATGCGCCTCGGCACTTGCTAAGATAGCCAGTCACACACAAAAAAGTTGCTATAAATCGCTTGGTATTCCGTTTTCAGGTGATTATTTTTAATTTTTTACATGTAGGGTTGCCGTTTTGAATTCGTGCCGACGTTCGGCGCATTTTTTCTGAGCAGAAATTTGCCGTCTCGAATCATTATTTCGTGTTTCGAGTCGATTCGAGAGACACCCTAAACACAAGGGAACCTCTATATAACGAACCCTCTCCCACGTCATTTCCATTTCGCGGTCACTCAATTCAGTCCCGAGAGGTGCTTTAGCCTAATTATACTCTTCCGACAATTTCACTTTCTTCCTTACGTCGGCAAAATAATGACCCCTAGATATATGACCCCTAGATGTGATATTATATAGAGGTTCTAGTGTATATAAAATTAAATTCTTAACTAAAAATAATTTAGACAAGCTCGCTTTGATTTGAATTTGACTGCAACAGAATTTGAAGAAACTATGTTGATATATAAATTTCATTATGCTAAAAATCTTTTCAAAAAACACTAACATATTATACAAATTAATAAAAAAAATTCTTTTTGGGATATTTTGTCACTCTTTTTATTCTTGTTTCACAGAATTATTTGAATGTGTAATCTTTCGCCTTTCTCCTTTTTGGATATAAGCTTTAACGAAAAAGCGTGTAAAAAGTACAGCAAAAGCAGAATATATTGTGAAGCAAATACACATATTTTGGACTGATTGTTGACAGACAAAATTGATGTCTTGAGTTCCTTTTAGATAGGCTACATAGAGGGAAATGAAAACTCCGATGAGCATCTGAAAGGAAAGGAGGATTTTAGGTTATGTTTAATTGAAAGTTGACATTTTGAAATATTTTGTGGGTATTTGAAAATTCGAAAATTTACGGGTGTGACGGGGGGATAAACCGAACTATTACCTTTAATTTTTTAGGTTAAATGCATTTTAAAATATCTACGTGTAGTGACATTTTCAAACATTTTTAGTTCAACTTTGACAAGCAACTTGCCTGAGTTGTCTGCATTGCCGTGACACTCATTGAGATCCATTTAGGAGCCCTTATCCCAATACAGGCAGCTGCATAGTAGGCATACATAACTGAGTGGACCATATAATTTAATTGAATGAACCAGCGCCCAGCGGCTGTTAATTCCGTTGCTGAATGCCAGCTTAAATAGTTGAATTTTATTAAAAGAATTTATTTGGGTTTTTATATTTCCGGAGTCTAAATTAGGGTAGCACCCTGTCCCCCGGCGAATTTTTAGGCAAAAACCCCGACCCGAACCCCGAAGACTCTGCCCCGGTAACCCACAATCTCCGACGATCTCTCAGGGTGTTACCCTAGTCTAAAGGTAAAGTATAATATTTGACTTTCCGGAAAGTCAAGTATTTATTTATTATAATTTCCGGAACGTTTACTATCAAGTTTTCCGGAAAGTTTCTTTTTAATTCTCTTTAAATATTCACCTATAAATAAGCACAACAGCATGATGGAACCAATGAAGAAATATTAGGGGTCTCTTTCGCAGAAGCAGAAAAACGGTGTCCCCAAATTCAGCAATTTTTGAGAGGGCAAAACACATTGCCCAAAAAGCGACAGGCTCTGCTGGAGAGAATGAAAGGCAAATTGAATCTTGAAATCCTCTATTTAACAAAACATAGAAAAATTCGTGTCCAAAACGCCAGGCACCGCAAGTTGAAAATATAGATAATCCAACGTTCCAGAAAAACAGAGGAAGGCGAAGGTCGAAGGCTTTTCTGTCTTCCATCCATTTTTTGAGTGAATAAACACCTAATTAAATATTCTTTTTTTAATGTTTAAATTAGGAAGTATATTATATTTTTCCGGAAAATTTTGTGTTTTCCGGAAATTCAAGTACTTAAGTATTTATTTTTAATGAGATATACTCTTAATCCTTTTCGGAAAGTTTTTAGGAAAATTTAACATTTAATTGCAGGATATTAAATCATGAGGGAGGAGGTTGTAAACTAGAGGTAGAGAGAAAAAATCTTTTTTAATTTAAATAAATTTTTATAAAAGAAAAAGTGAAAAATAAAAAAAATTAAATTTTAAAATTGAGCAATATGTAATTTAAAATTTAAATGTATTCAATGTGATACAAAGGAGAATTGTTTTACATTATGTAGATTTAAAATTTAATAAAGAAAGAAATAAAATCATCAGGAATAGGTAATGGGTATTTATAAGTTTTTCCGGAAGATTTAATATTTAATATCCGGAAACCTTAATACATATTTTCCGGAAAATATATATTTAAATTTTTCCGGAAAGTTTTAAATATAAATTAATTTCCCACCAGCAATATAAGCCATAACAATATATATCGAAACATGCCAGTGTTTTGTAAACATTCCATGGGTAAATTCAGCATTCCAAAGTTTCTCTTCAATAGACCAAAGTTCTTCATATTTGTAGGGAATGAAATAGATTTTGGACCCTCCATATTTTTCTGAATTTTTCCAAATTTCAAAATTATTAGTGTTGTTGTTGTTATAAAAAGTCATTTTCTTGAAAAATTTTTTTGGAGTCTGAAATTTATTTTTGAAGTCGAAAAAAAATATTTTTTAATAGAAAAATTTTTGAAAAAAAAATTTTTTTTCTAAAATAAAAATTGATTTTTATTTTGTGAGTAATAATTTTGAATTTATATCAGTTCAGAAAAAAAGTTTTTTGTTTATATATGTCTATATGAGGGTGGGTAAAATGTGCATTAATTTATGGTTAATTTAATGAGTAATTTGGCTACAAACAACAAAACACTATAAAGTTTGTAAAATAAAGTTGAAAAAGAAATGTTGAAAAGAATAATTGACTACAAATTTTAATTTAAAGTTTAAAAAATTATTCAATTTTTAAACTTGATATTAAACTTTACGGAAAGTTTAAAAAGATAAGTTTAAAAGTAGGTAACTCTTTCCGGAATGTTTGGAGGGAATATATTTATAAACTTATACAGGAAGTTTCAGGAAAGTTTTATCTTTTAAATATTAATTTCTGAGTCTTTCCGGAAAGTTTTCTAAAAATATAATTCTTAACTTTTCCGGAAGAACTCGATGAGTAGTTCACTGCTCCGGAAAGTCTAAAAGAAATATAATTAATTCACTATAAAGAAAGTTTTCCGGAAGGTTACAAGACTTCTTCGTTTTTTCGGAAACTTTAAAGGGAATATACCAATTACTTTATTTCTCCGGAAAGTTTTCAGGAAAGTCTATAGGTACTGAATATTCTCTCTCCAGAAAGTTTTTTTTATTTATTCTCAATATTAATTTCCAAGTTTTAATTTTAAAACAAAATTAAACTTTAATTCTTTAAATTTAAGTAATACAAATTTGGTAAAGAAATGAAATTAAAACTACTAAATTGGGAGGGTTTATATTTATTTGCAAAATTAATTTTTCCTTTTTTGCTCTCACTTATTAATTTGTTTACGCAATAAAATTTCATATTTCGAGAGAAAAGAATGCATTTTTTTTTCAAATTAGGAACAAACATAACCATAATATTTGTTATTTATTTGGTTATTAATAAATGTGACGTGAAATATTGAAGGCCAAAAAGGGGATAAATTTAAATAGGTAGAGGTTATTTTAGTTTTAAACTTGTGGGAGAAATTAATTATTAAAATATTAATAATTAATTAAACTTAACAAGAAAATTTCCGGAAGATTTGTATAAAATAATATTTTTCCGGAAAAATTAATACTTTCCGGAAATTTTAGTATTCTATCTTCCGGAAAATTTATAATGTATACTTTCCGGAAAGTTTAATATTATTTATATACCCACTAATTTTATTCCGGAAAATTAGTTTAATAGAGTATGTACACCTATAGATTTGTATAAAATATTTTTTCCGGAAAAGAAATGGTAATATTTTCCTGAAAGTTACTACAATCTCAAACTCCCTCCCCTCCACACAATAAGTGCTATTTCATACTATTAAATAAACCAAAATTTTGCAAAAATATTTTTATTTTTTTAATATTTAAAAAAATATTCCAACACTTCCTTATTTATTTATTTAATTTTTATGACCATTTAAATTTTTTTATCAATTTTTTCTATCCTCTTATCTACGCGTCAGAGCCATAAATCTTCTCAAACTCCCTCCATATTATTCTAATTTAAATGATTAATTTAGTTTAAAAATTTAAAAATAAAAAAAAAGAGAATATAAAGTACGAAAAGAATGTGCGCAACATTTTCTGATTTTTTTTTATTTTAAAAGTTTAGGCGCTAATTTTAGTGAAAAGAGAATTGACGTTTGTTGACGCGCCTATTTTTGCGCCTAAATACCTAAATTATGGGGAGCATTAATTAATTATTTTTCGAGAGAATTAAATAAACTTTTTAATTTTAAATTTGACAAACAAAAATTTTATTAACTCTTTGATAATTAAAAACCGAAAAAAAAGAGAGGGAGGAGAAATTATGGTTAATTAATGAAAAAAAAGCAAAATTTTAATTAACATCAAAATTTAAATAAAATATAAAAAACAAAAGGGAAAGAAATGGATATATCTTCACTGGCTTTTTGGTTTTTACAATTTCAATCAAAACTAAAATAGAATTAACATAAGTAAAGATTGTAAAGGGAGACATTTGTAAATTGTAATATAAAATCGAAATTTCCGGAAAGTTTTATTAAATCGTTTATTCTTTTTACGCCGAATTTTTAGCGCCGCAGGCGCTAAAAATTTTGAGAGAATTTTATAAGGAAATCCTCCATTTTAGAAAAAATGGAAAATTATAAAATATTAATATTATTTCCTTAGAAATTTTCTTAAAAACTTTCCGGAAAAAATTAAAACTACAGGTGACACGAGATATCTCCAATATATTTTAGAAAAAATGTCAAAAATTTGGGACTATTTAAGAATGAAACCGGAGTCTAAAATAGGAAAAAGGTTTATTATTAGTTTTCGGAAACCTTCTATAGTGCTTATTTAATTACGGATTGTTTTCCTGTAGTTTTAATTTTTTCCGGAAAGTTTTTAAGAAAGTTTGTAAGGAAATAATTATCATATTTTATATAAACTTATTTTTATATTAAAGTTTTTACTTCCCCAAAATAAATTTAGGATAATTGATTAAATATAAAACTTTTTTGTAACAACTTTTGTGTTTGCCTATATTTTTTGATTTGTATTAAAAACTTTTTTCCTATTACAACTTAAAATGTCCCCCTCCCCCACACTAACTAAAGTCAACAAAACATTTTTTCCTTTTTTCCTTTTAATACATAAATATATTGCTATTATTCTTTTATTAAATACCCTTATTTACGGGGGATTTTTCTTTCACAAATTTTTTTGTTCCCTTGTCAGCAGAGATTGTTGATTCATCATCATCGCTTTCTTCCCCACTTTTTTGTTTCTGAAAAAATAATACTTTTTTGAAAATAAATTGGAAAATTTTTTTAAATCTAAATAACCCAAGAAATTTATTTTTTTTTAAATTATTTTAAAAAATTTTACATTATCTCCTCCACTTGTTTTACTATCCTCTTCAAGTCGTCGTTTACGTTGTTGCAAGCAGCTACTCCTATTTTTGGAATGATTGCTTGCTTCAATATATTTTTGCAGCAACATTCGAAGATTGATTATTGAAGATGGAGAAGCCTAAAAAATATTCTTAATGAGAAAATAAAAAATTTTTTTAAATTTTCTTAGATGAAAATTAAAAATTAAGGGAGGGCTACGAGGCTCGATAGTTTTTTCAATAAAACTTTCAATTACTATTAGAAATTAATATTATTTTTAATACTACATTTTAAATGGAGAGATGAAGATCTACGTAGGTACAAAAAATAAAATTTGGAAATGTTCAAAAGGTTCTGTAAAAGGCCCCCGGGCGTCGTTTACGTTACTACGGCCCTGGAAAAGGCGAATATAAAAATAGAAGGGCATTAGTAAATTCTAATAATTTTCTTACACTAAAAAAACAAAAAAAACCTGAATTATAAACAATTGCGGAGGCAAATCAACATCCCCAGTATGAGCAGAAATTTGTATTCTCTTTTCTGACAATTCTTGTAACAACATTTCAGGGAAGATTTTTGAATTGATTAAAACGCGTTGAGAGCCTGATTGTCGGCCAACTTTAAAAAATATTTTTTGGAAAGAATTTTTTAAAAAATTTACTTAATCGAATATCATCTTTAGACCCGATATGTTGATTTAATCGAAGAGTGCCCATACCACGTTCCTGCCATTGTTTAGTTTCAGAATTGTAATGATAAAATTTGCAATCAATCTAGAAAAATATAAATTTTAGGTAAGATGGGGAAATTTTTGTTATAGAAGGAAATTGTTTGTAAATGATTCTTATGAATGAATTTTATCCTGGGAAATCCTGAGCAGATCCTGGGTAAAACCGAAATATAGATCGAACAGGTTCTGGAGCAAAGTTAAGATTTTATTGAACCTAGAGCAAGGATAAAAAGATATTTCTTAATTCGTGTTGACGTAGACTCAAATATAAGATCAGATCCAGACAGGCCCGTAGCCAGGATTTTTTTTCGGGGGGGCCAAGGGTGTACGGAATTTTGGTCACTGGAATTTTGGTCACCAAGATTTTTCGGAACTTTGGTCACCAAGTCAAAAAACGGAATATTGGACACTGAAAGTTTGGTCACCAATGGGAATTTTGGTCACCAAACTGAAAAAAAGAATCTTATCTAAAACTGATATCAAAGTGATAAAATATGATTTTTCAACCCCCAGTTAATCAATTTCAATGGTTATCACTTTCCCGGCTGATCACTCTCTCGGTTGATCACTCTCGATCACTCTCCCGGATGATTGATTAACTGGCAGAGTGATCAACATTGAAATTAATAAACTGGGGGTTGAAAGACAATATTTTATCACTTTAATATCAGTTTTAGATAAGAATTGTTTTTTCCGTTTGGTGACCAAAATTCCCATTGGTGACCAAACTTTCAGTGTCCAATATTCCGTTTTTTGACTTGGTGACCAAAATTCCGCTAGTGACCAAAATTCCAAAAAAGTTGGTGACCAAAGTTCCGAAAAATCTTGGTGACCAAAATTCCAGTGACCAAAATTCCGGCACCCGGGCCAAGGGGGGGGAAAATTTTTATTTTCAGCGCCGCAGGCGAAAATTTTGAGAATTTTAGAAGGCCGTAGGCCAAAAAATTCACTTTTTCGGCGCCGCAGGCGCCAAAACCCCCCCCCCCTGGCTACGGGCCTGGATCCAGATCAAAAACCGGTCAAAAAGACACGGCCAATAAGCATCTGACCAGGTTATACTAATTTTGGAGAAATTATCAAATATCTCAATCTATACGGTACAATGGGACGAAGCATAAAACGCATAGTAAATCTGGCGGATTTTGATATCCAAAAGTTTAGAAAATACAACGGAAGTTAAAGAGAGCCCTCTCCCAAAACATTTACCCCCCCCCCCCTAGCAAAACCTTTAAAAGTTGTTGTTCCTCCTCTTCTCCAGTCACCACCAAAAGATGTTCTCCATCATCCGAAACCATAACAGACGCATTTTTATGAGCAAATTCTTCAGCGGATTCTTTTAATTTATCGATAGAAGAGGAAGAATCAGGAGCTTCTCCATTGCCTCCATTTGTCTTAAACGAGGAAAATCCACTTCCAGTTTTCCACTAAAAATGGGCGTTTATTAGAATCCAAAAAATAAACACCATATTTGTTCCATTTGCATTGTTAGAACTCGACATCTTTTGACCAACCCGTCGAAAAATAGAAGAGACATCAGGAGTTGTTTTAGAATTTTCTGAAGAACTTGAAGTTGAACCAGCTGAGTCTTCCTACAAAAAATGAAGTTTAATTTAATATTTAAGGAAAATGTGGGAAGTTTATACTTTGGTGTCGCATTTGTATTTCCTCCCACGATCATTATTTAATAGCTTTTAGCAACCAGGGTGACCATTTTACCTCATTTATAGGGCATATGCACTATTTTTGACCGATTGCCCTATTTGGAAAGGGTCACCCTACTAGCAACTAGATAGACCAAAAAGGATTAAAGTAAGTTGAGGGAGAATTGGGGTCCAGAAAATTGAGGTTTAACGAGTTTAAACTTATTGAAGAAGTCCAAAACCGAAAAACCCTCAAGGTCCTGAATCAAGACTCAAGACCAAGAGTTAAAACGCCTTTATAAAACCGAAACCCAGCCTGGCCCTCGTCAAAATGAAAAACATATACTCATATCGAACCCCAATTAAACCCAAACAAAATTTCAAACCTTTTGCGCCGCTCGTTCAAAAAGCCTCGAACCAAAAACATATCCAGAAGAAATGCCAGAAGACGACGTCGGTTTATTGGGTGAATTTTCATTCCCATTTTTGTTATCTGAAAGTCCATGAAGTCCGAGATCAATATTTATATCAGTTTTGTGAAAGTGACTAGTGCTCTCGTCCCAAACACGTGATGCGGTACTCGCCAATTTTGAGGGTGGTAAATCCATTTTTGTAAGCAAATTTTTTTTAAATATTTTTCTAGGAGAATCAATATCCCTAAAATAAAAATTTTCAATAAAAATCAGCATAAGCTTAAAAATCCCCAAAAACAAATCCCAGAAAATCTGATGGCTTCTCCATATTCTGCCAAATTCACATTCTGCCAATAAAGGTAAAAACGGACGTTTTACCAACACACCTTGTTGGCAAAAAGTGAATTTTTAACCAATTGGCAAAACATGTTTTGGCAAAATATGGTGGAGAGAATCCTCAGTTACAAGTAAAAATTGACGAGAAAGTACTTAAAACAAGGAGAATGTTAGAGAAAAATATTAATTTTTTTAAATGACATAAAATCCAAATAAAACATTTCCACAAAAAAGACTTATTTCAAAGTTGAATGAGTCAACTAAAATTTGGAATGTTGTGACTTATAGCGGGTTTTTTGTTTTTGAACCGATTTCGACAAATGAGGTGTCATTCGAAAGAGCTTCAAAAACTGAGTCGAACTAGATACGGGGGAAGTCGATCCGACAATCAGGGGCCGAGTTACAGACCCCTGAAATTTGAAAAAGAGAAGGGGGGAGTAAGCTCATTTTGGGGTGAAAAATTCGAAAATGCAAATAATAGCTCATTCGACTCCTTTCGACGAGCTGAGTCGAATAACACCAAAATCAGCTCGATATCTTGATTCTGAGCCAAGATAAACGGGTTCAAAATGGTCAACATAAACCTATGGAGCGTCGGCGAGGCGCTTGTGCAAAACCCCGCGCTTCGCGCGGGGTTTTGCGGCACGCGCCTCGCGGGGAGTCTACGGGCGCTGGGTCTGGGCTCGTAACATAAACCTATTCTTATTTCCCTTGTTCTGGACATAATTGGGCCTCCGTAGCAGCAAAAACCTCCACATAGACCATAGGTATGGAGCTAAAACAAACGATCATAACTTTGTCAAATGAAGTCGGATTTCGGTGATCTTGGTGCCATTCGACTCAGCTCGTCGAGCTGAGTCGAATGAGCTATTATTTGCATTTTCGAATTTCTCACCCCAAAATGAGCTTACTCCCCCCTTCTCTTTTTCAAACTTCAGGGGTCTGTAACTCGGCCCCTGATTGTCGGATCAACTTCCCCCGTATCTAGTTCGACTCAGTTTTCGAAGCTCTTTCGAATGACACCTCATTTGTCGAAATCGGTTCAGAAACAAAAAACCCGCTATAAGTCACAATACCCGAGATTTGACTTAATTAACGTTTTTTGTAAAAGAAAACAGCTGAATTGAGTTAAAATCGAATAAGGATCAATAATCACGATTGCGCACACTTATCCAAATGTAACTTTTTCTACAATGATTTGATAAAATCAATCCTGTTAGCTAAAATAATCCTCACATTCAGAGCTTTCGATTGACGTAATAATTATTTAAATCGGTTAAGAATTAAAAGAGTTACAGCCCAAAATATGGCCTTGAGTTGAATCGGCCTTAATTGAACTTGGCTGAGCGCCAAAGCTGTTCGCGTGGCGCTCAGCCAAACGCCAAAAATCGGTTAAACGCCATTGCGCACAGTTCCGATACTTCATCGTCCCTCGCCTTATTTGGAAAGATTTTTTGACTAAAAGTCGATTCTCTTTAAATTAAAAATTAGTCACGTGTAAAGGTAAAAGGCTTTTTTTACTCATTTTTGTTTGTTCAGGTTTTTTATTTAAAAATTTTTTTAATAAAAATTTTTTTTTAAAGGTTAACTAACAATTCTTTTAACTCTTTTAATTCTTTAAAATGATTGTGGAAGACGAAAGAAGAACACAAATTTCTGCAGCAAATTTACGAATTCCTCCCTATGGAATACTTGAAGAACAACCAACCTCTCCTGATTACCACGCTTCGAACGCTTTAAATTTGGAAAGTGTTGGAAATAATTCGGTTATTATTGAAAGGAATAAAGCAAATAATACAAATAATTGTGTTCAATCGACAGGTTTTATTATTTTACTTTTTTAAAGCTTTTTATTTATTTTTTGCTCTGTCACTGTTAAATTCAACCTTTTTTTCCTCTTCTCTCTTAAATTATTATTAAGGATTAGAGGATTAAAATTAGGATTGTTCACAATTGGTTAACCGGGCTGCAAACCCTGTATAGGCCAATAACCTTTAGTGAATCCGTCACTCCCGAAATGTTTTGTCTATTTAAACTGTTAATATCATCTTTTATATCTAACATTTAGACTGTTTTTGGGACTAAAAAATCTGTCAGGGCTCTAATATTTTTCAGAAACTTTGCAATTTACCCTTTATTTTTTTCAAAAAAACTTCTAACAAATTCTTGGGTTTTGTTAGAAGTTCAATAATGCCAAAAACACAAAAAATTTTCATTCAAATAATCTCCGGAATTAAACTAAACCTCTTTAAATTTTGCAATTTTTGGGTATCGGGAATCGCGATTTTTCTATATAAAAATTCTCATGCGTCACTCCCGAAATGTTTTGTTAATTTTTGCTCGCAGTTTTTATTTTTCCTTTTATGACTCTAAAGTTATTAAAATTGATTATCTCTTTATGGGTTTCATTTTCCCCAGACTTGCATTTTAATAAATTTAATTTACCCAAAATTCTATCTTTTCCCCTCTTCTAATTTTTCCCAAATTTTTTTTCTAACAATTCTTTTATTTTTTACCAATATTTTTTCACTTAAAAATTAACAAACAGATTTTGATTCAATAATGCCAAAAGCACCCAATGGATTGTCAACATTTTCGGGTGTCTTCGCTCCTGTTACAATTTCAATGTTTTCTGCATTGCTTTTTCTTCGAATGGGTTTTTTTTAATTTTTAACATTTTATTTTCGTCTTTTCTATCGCCATATCTCATTTCCCTTTTAAAAATTAATTTTTTTTTTAATTCAAAGGCTTTTCTGCTGGTCAACTTGGATTTGTTTTAACTGTTGTGGAATTGTTTATGGCTTATGGTTTTTTTAAATTTTTTATTATAATTGAAATTTATATAATGCCCAAACATGTGTATTTAGTGCCGAATCTTGCCTTTCCTTCCTATTTTTCTTCTCTGTTCCTAGTTCTCACCGTTCATTTTTATTTTTTACTGTGTTGAATCAATCAAAAAATATTAAAATTTAGTCCGGCTTTTTTATATCCACTGGGTTGGAGACGAATTACCCCTAGTCTAGAGCCGTAACCAGTGGGTAGGGTTAAAAGAGGAGGGGGCTATCTCATTATAAAATAGTCAGCGTCAAGAGGGCTACCTTATAATGAGTTTAAAATGTATTTTTATTTTTAATTATATTTTTAAAAAATTTAATCTTTTAAAGGTATAATTTTGTTAACTGTCCTTTCTCTTTGTGCTGTTTCTTCTAATGGAGCTGTTGAGGGTGGAGGAGTTTATTGTATGTATTTTTATTTAATTTTTGAGTTAAAATTAATTTTTTAAATCTTTTGCTATTTATTACTGCAATAGACATACATAACTATTCCACGAATCTTGTAAGGGCGAAGAAAATTTTTTTGAAAGAGTAAAAAGTATTTACGACCTATGGAGCTGTGGAAGACGGAGAAGTTTATTATGAAAATTGTTACTCCTCTGCATTCCACAGCTCCAAAAGTAGTTCAACTATTAATTTTTGCTTGTGCTGGTTCAATTGAAGAAGCACAAGCATCAACCGCCACAGGCAAAAATTAACCTATCATGAACAATTTTAGTAAAAGTAAAAACCAAGAGGAGTTACTTATTAAATGACTTCTCTCAAAATACCTTCACCATTCTTTACTAAATTTTTTAATTAAACTTTAGATATGATAAGTAGAACTCTTGGCCCAGAATTTGGAGGAAGTGTTGGTCTTCTATTTTTTATGGCAAATGTATTTTCTTGTGCTCTATATATTGCTGGATTTACTGAAGCTTTAACTAATGTTACAGGTTTTTTAATTTAAAAAATCATTTTTAAAAGGGATGATTTTTGTAATAAAATTGTGTTTTTCGTTTATTAATCCGAAAAATATAAAAATCCACCCAACGGGTTCGAACCCTCCCCATATTTCCTTTGTGGACAAGGCGTTAACCCACTACACCAAAATTTACTTGAAACAAGAATTTTGGGGTAGGGGACGACTCAGAGTCGCCGATTCAGAGTCGCCAATTCAGAGTAGCCGATTCAGAGTAGGGACTATTCAGAGTAGCCAATTCAGAGTACGTGGAAAAGGGGACGATTCAGAGTACGTAGAATAAAATACCCTAAAAATCGAGATTTTTGGAAAGGAATTGATTTATTTTTTTTTTGCTTTTTATTCTTTTTTGTTTCCTTTTATTGTTCTAGAGAGAAAACATCAATTTGCACAACCAACGCAATTAGTTAATGACAGAAATTAATTTTTAATAAAAATTTAAAATTTTTAAAATTTTTTTGAATTTTTTAAATTTCTGCAAAAACTTGCAAAAACTTAAATCGACGAAGTTTCTACTCTATTTTGCGAGGTTTTTTAAAAAAAAATTTTTGTTTTATATTTTGAAATTTTTTTTGAAATTTTTTGTCCCCAAACGGCCCTGTTTAGGGCCACAAATCTAATGAGTGAAACGAGACAATGACTTATTTATGTATTTTTTGATAAATTTTTGTGTATTTGATTCATCTTTTTATTAAAATTTTGCTCCCTGAAGAAAAAAAGTTGAGGCCAAATCTTTACCCTAAGGCCGAAAAAGCCTAAGAAAAGCCTAGAGTCAAGACTCGGCTAGCTCTTAAAATGTTCCTCAGATCGAAGAAAGTAAGAAAAACCAGAAAATTCGCAAGAAAAACTGATTTTCTATGTCTGAAAATTTATGTACTCTGAATCGTCCCCTTTTCCCCGTACTCTGAATCGGCTACTCTGAATTGTCCCTACTCTGACGTCTCATTGTCCCTACTCTGACGTCTGAATTGTCCCTACTCTAACAAAAAAAAGTCCCTACTCTGAATCGGCTACTCTGAATCGGCGACTCTGAATTGGCGACTCTGAATCGACCTTTTCCCAGAATTTTGTGCCAAAAGTCCTGAATTGCCCCCTAAAAAATTTTTTTAATTAAAAAAATTATTTTTAGGAATTGGAGACATGTTTGGCGGAAAATTTATTCATTGTGTTTTTGTCAGCATAATTATTTTAATGTTGTGTTTGTTAGGGTCTGATTGGTTTGCTAGAACTGCTTTGTTGGCTCTTTTCTTAATTGTTTTGGCTTTTTGCTCTTTTTTATTTACGGTTTCTTTTAATTTTTCAAATTAGTGGGAAGGGCTTTTAACGACCAATGAAATTTTTTTGTTAAATTTTGGCAAATCTAAAATGGTAGAAAATTGTTGTGAACATTAATTTAGTTAGGAGATGAGCTAGTTTTTATGGGATTTAAAACGCTCAGGCAAAAGTTTATGTGCTATCTGGGATGAGCCTGAAACATGGACCCATGACTGATCCGATTTTTTCTCAATCCATCCCATCCTTAGTTTAGATACCTACATTACAGTGGTAATGTACGAAGCGTCACTGCCATGAAGCGTCACAAAACTTTTCTTACATTAAATAAAAAATTTTTTTCCAAAGATCTTTGTTCGTTCTCCAAGCGAAATCCGAATACCTTTCGACAACACATATGCTTATATGGTACCTAAAAATGCTACAGATCCAGCAAGTGAATTAATTGTTCAATTAAATCAGACAATAACGGCACAATACACTTCTTTTAGGTTTTTTGGATTAATTTTTAAATTTAAAGTTTTTCAGTGTTTCAACATTTACTGAAAATTTAATGTCTAATTTCACAATTGACTATACAACTGGACACAAGACAGGTTAAAAAATGTTTTTTGGGAAATTCTAATCACTTTTTAATTCACCAACAAATTTTCCCTCATCACAACGGCAACTTTTTGAACCTATAGCTTTTTCCAGTTATTTTCCTCCAAACTTTTTCCGTTATTCTTATTTTAAGAGGACCTGACATGCCCTTAACCCCTTTTATGCACCCTTGAAGGAGGGAAATATGTTAAGAAAAATATGAGAGGGCTACAAATATAAGAATTTTCATTTTGTGAATTTTTTATTTTTTTAGATTTTGCCTTTATGTTTGCAATAATTTTTTCTGGTGTAACAGGTTTAATGGCTGGTGCAAATATGTCTGGTGAATTGGCACGCCCAAATGTTTCTATTCCTAGAGGAACTTTACAGGCTGTTTTTACAACTTTATTTACTTATGGTTTGTTTTTAGACGGAGGGGAAAGTTTTTTAATTTAAAAATGCGGGTAAAAATGTCCGCAAAAATACAATTCATTTTTACAATTATCTTTTTTGTAGAAAAAAATTATTTATTTATGAGTAACCACGCGTTATAAAAATACACTAATGGTGGTGGAAGTCTAAAAATTATATCTTAATTTTTCTCTTTCAAAGTTTTCACAACATTCCTTCTTTGCCTCTCCTGCTCTCGTAAACTTCTTCAACAAGATTATATGGTTATGGTTGATATAAGTGTAGTTCCGTCAATTTTAATGCTTGGGATTTTTGCTGCTACTTTCTTTTCTTCAATGAGCAATTTAATTGGAGCTTCTAGAGTTTTGACTAGATTTGCTCAGGTTTTTAATATTTATTTTAAAAAATTTTGCGGACTTTTTGCTAACTTTTCTTAGGGGGTTTTGCAGACTTTTTCTGCAGACATTTTTGCTTATATTTCTTGCGGACTTTTTGAGATTTTTTGCAGAGCGGACATTTCTTACCGACAAATATAAATTTTTTTATTCAAACTAGATTTAAATTTTAAAGGACAAACTCTTTGGAAATTTATTAAAACCAGCAACACTAGAATTTGGTTCTAAACGTAATCCACTCATTTCTGTTATAATCTCTTGGGTTGGCGTTGTTGTAAGTTTTTTTTATTAAATTTTCTAAATAAATTTATTTTTAGTTTGTTTTAATGATTGGAGCAATGAATAGAATTGCAAAGGTTTTATTTTTAAAAAATTTTTTCCAAAAAAATTCTTTTTAGATAACTTCAATTCTCTTTTTACTTTCTTATATGGGTGTCAACATTGCTACTTTGGCATTAGAATTGACTAGCGCTCCCAATTTCCGTCCAAATTTTAAATATTTTTCTTGGCATACATGTGCTTTGGGAGCTCTTTCAACGGTATTTATTTTAAATTTTTAAATTTTGAAAAAAATTTTAAAGGTCATAATGATGTTAGTTATTGACACATCTATTTCTGCTGCTGCTGTAGTAATGCTTATGTTGTTAATTATGATTTTGCATTATCAGGTTAATATTTTTTTAATTTTTTATATGTGTACCAAAGGGTGTATCTATGGAGTTTATGCCACCCGTCCCCCTTCATCATCTCTCTCAAAAATTGTAGGAAAAGGGAAAAAATAGGAGAATTATGATTAAAAAGTCACAATCTTTCGCTTACAACCTTTCAACTTCCCAAAATTTTTGCCGAAATCAGACCCAGGCTAAGTCTTTACCCGAACTCGAACTGCTACTAATTTTATTTAAATTAAAAAAATTTTTTAAAGGCTCCAATTGGTTCATGGGGTTCAATTTCCCAAGCACTCATATATCACCAAGTACGAAAATATTTATTATTGTTGGATATACGAAAAGAACATGTCAAGTAATTTTAAATAATTCTTCAAAAATTTAATTTTTCTCCCCAAAAATCAGATTTTGGCGTCCACAAATTTTACTTTTGGTTAATCGCCCAGCTACCTGTTTTTCTCTTATGGATTTTGTTAATGATATAAAAAAGAGTGGATTATATGTTATTGGACATGTACAAAGAGGAGATATGGGGGGATGTAAATTAAGTAATGGGGGAGGTGATTTAAGTAAACAATCTCAGCAAACAATGGATCCGTTACAACAGGTTTTTTTCTTTAAAAATGTTTTTTTTAATATTTAAAGAGTCTAACAATAATTTATTGAAGTAAAAATTAAAGTTAAACTCTTGAAAAATCGAACTCTTCTCAAAAACTCAAAATCGAACTCTTCTCATACTTCTTTATGGGCATATATCCCGCTACACCAAGGTGCCCATTAGTTCCTAACGATCCACTATTTAATTCAAAATTTTTTTAAATGATAAAAGTAATCTTTAAAACTTTTAAAAAATTTAAAAATTTATTTTTAGACTTTCCTTAACGATAAAACTATTTTTATTTAAAATTAATTTATTAAAGGTATTTCCATATTGGCTATCTCTTGTCGACTACTTAAAATTGAAAGCATTTGTTGAATTAACATTAACAGATGATGTACGTATTGGAATACAACAAGTATGTTTTTAGAAAAAATAAACTTTTTTAATTTAAATATTTTAGTTAACCCGTTTAAGTGGACTTGGGGCAATGAAACCAAATACAGTTATTTTAGGCTTTCATGAAGAAAAGCCTTGTGAACCTATACTTTCTGAAACACATTTACTCAAAGAATTAAAATTTTCTAAAATTGGAAGAACTGAAGTTGTGGAATATTTTACTGCTAGTGATTTTCCTCCAAATTTTGTAAGAAAAAATTTTTTGTTATCAAAAAGTCCGCAAGTTTTGTCCTCAAAAGCTGTATTTTTATTTTTGTTCTTTACCTGAAAGAATTATTGATTTTACACATACAAAATTAGTCCTCTCCCGTATTTCTCCTCCTTTATTTAAATCCTTTTGATAAAATTAATAATATAAATTGCGGTCAAAATTTGCGGACTTTTTGGAAGCGTAAAGGTAAAGGACTACTTTTTGACTTTTTTAAATTCTTTCTGATTCTGAAAATAATTTTTGATTTTTTAAAATCATTTTTCCCTTTTTTCCAGAATTCTTTGGAAGGAAATGATATTTCTTCAGCCAATTCAACAACACGTCTAGAAGCTTTAGAATATGTCCAAATACTCAACGATATAATTAATCTCAATAAAAATGTTTGTATTGCACGTCATTTTACTCAATTTGACAAGGAAATTTCATTAAAGTATTTTTAGATCCGCAACAATAAAATTTAATTTTTCAAGGCAATCAAGTCGCCGTTTCATCGATGTTTGGCCTTCCCACTTTTTCAAAATTGCTGAGGAAGGAAAGGGAAATAAAACTCCTGGGACTGGACTTAGATGGGACAATTCTTCCCTTTTTGTTTTACAATTGGCTTGTATTCTTTCAATGTCTAGTAAATGGAAAAATACAACTTTACGTGTACATATTTGTGTGCATAGTTTACAGGTTTTTTTTAACTTTTAAATAAAAATACTGGGAATAATTTAACATGGGAAGGTTGCGAGGTGTCCGAGCTAAAAACGGTCGAGACCGGGCTCATTCGATAGAAAATGTTTTTAGTTCGGACACCTCGCAACCTTCCCATGTAAGAAATAAAGTCCGCAAAAAACGGGGAGTTCTTACAAGTCCACAACCTTTATACGCAATTTATAAAAAATAGTTATGGATCCACACAAATCTTACCCACACCAAAAAAAACATTTTTAATTAATTTAATAAAGGACATGCATTGTCAAGAACTTCAACTTAAAAGTATGCTTGAACAATTACGTATTAAAGCAAAAACAGTAATGGTACCTTGGGATCACGTTTTGCAACAAATTGAAAAAACAACTTCACAAACATTTACGTTTGTTTTTTTTATTTGGGCTTCATTATTGGATACCCTCTCAGGACTAAAAAATTTTCGGACATTAAATAATATGATATAATTCTTAATACCAAAACGCCGAAATGTCAAACTCCCCAAAAGTCGTCGAAAGTCCAAACTTGATGTTGTAATAATTGTTCTAGCAGAAGGGGATGATGTTCAAAATTTTGGGAAAGTTGTTAACAGTATTTGGTATTTAAGTGGTATTAAGACATCGTTTCCACATTTTGGTATCAGGGATGTGACGGGTTGAGAAAAAAGTTTGGTTGGTTTAAAAATTTTCTTTGGATCTGGGTCGGGTTGAAAGAAGTCCGATTTTGGCTAGCCCGGGATTTCTTTCAAATTTCTTTTAAAAATTTGTATTCTTTTTCAAGTGAAATAACAGAATATCCTTTACAATTTGTAAAAGCAGTTAATGAAACAATTCAACGAAATAGTGGAGAGGGGGCTGCTGTTTGTTTTTTAAATTTACCAAATCCACCTTTAAATGCAAACAAATCAGAATATTATTTACAACAATTAAGTATTTTAACTGATTCATTACCCCCAACAATACTTGTACATGGACTGACTTCTGTTATTTCAACAGCTTTGTAATTGTTAAGGGAAGGTAAGAAATTTAAAAACATTTATTTTAGGGGGGATTTAAAAATTAGGGGGTTGTTAGCGGCCGGTTAATTTTTCCATGTGGCGGCGCAACTAGAGGAAAAAAGAAAAGAGCATTTGAACCGCCATAAGGAAAAATTAACAGATTACCAACAACAATATTTAAAATCTTCTTTAGAGACTTGCATTAATTATCAGGAAGGGGCCTGATCAGGTTACCCCATGCAATCTTACTTTACTATTTTTTAAAGTTAATTTTAAAAAATTAAATGTAAGAAAAAAAGAAAGATTATTTGGGGGAAGCTTAAAAATTAAAAATCGAACAAATTTAGTCGAATTTCTCCCCGATTCAATTGCTGCCCAGAGGTTTAACCATCACTCCCCAACGCCCAATTAGCAAAAACTTTTCTGCTTAATTTTCAAAACAAGAAATAAAAATCTTTTTTTATTTAGTTCCTTCCAACTTTATTAATTTAAAATGGATGTATTCAAAATTTAATCTTTATTTTTGCCCACTTTTAAAAAAGAAATGGAAAGCCATAGAGAGATAATCTTATATTTATAATTTCATTCATTTTTTAGCATTTCAACATATTTTCTAAGCTTTCCTATATAATTTTTATTATTTATGCAGTCGGAGAACCTCCTATAAGGGTACCCCAATACATCGTTGGAGACGTGTTATCGAGAGAAACCCAGTGGTTCCTCTACGGAGCGTAGGAAAAACCTAAGCAATTCCCTCTATTTTTAACACACACCTCCCGATACTAGATCACTTCTATTTAAGATATATCGAGATTCGGGGCTCGTAAGTCATACCCCCTATTTAACATATTTTTTTAATCCCAGAGGAGTCCGGCTGTATATTTTTTTATTTTTTAACCCAAATTTTTCTTTTAAAAAATCTGCAATTCTCCCAATTAATTTTTAAAAAATTCTTTACACTTCAAAAAAGAATTTTGTGGCATTTTTTGTAATTTATCTTTACGTAATTTTTGTATTCAATAAATTTCCATTTAAGTATTTTAATTTTTGTATAAAAATTTTTTTTAAATTATTCAAATGTTGCTAACCAAGGGGGTATTTATTTGGTAATTTTACTGGTAAAAAATCCGCAAATAATTGTCCGCAAATTCTTCCGAATTCTAAAAATATTTTTCATTTTTATTGTCTCAAAAAAATCAAATTTTTATATATATAAAATCAATTGAATTGTGCCAAATTTGGTCAATAAAATTAATCAAAAAAAGTGCAAGAGAATAATAGGCAAAGAAAAAAACATTTTTTAATTTAAGTTTAACCTCTTTTTTTAATTTCTTTCCACCCAAACAATTTATTTAACTTGTTAAAGAACAGCACACCTTTTTCTCTTTTCAGGCGGAGCTGGAGCTAAAGCAGCCATCTTTTTGAAAAAAATAATTTTGGAATTTAAGAAGAAAAAATTTAAATTTTCTTACGATTGCTTCGTCAAAAACATTCTTTAAGCCCTTCTGAAAATAAAAAAATTAAAATTGAAAATCAGAATTTTTTAGTTAAAATGGATAGAGAATCATTTTACCCTATTAAAGGTCGACAGGAATTTCATGAAATCTCGTTTCGAAATCCCAGGTTTTAACGACAAAAGGGATTAATCTCGGATCCCTTCCATTCAACCTCAATTTGTTATGGGATTTAGGGAATTTTGAGTTACATAATAAATGAATTACCACACCCGTATCATAAGAACTCGGACCAAATCACCTAACCACAGAAGTTATGGTTAACTCTAGGATCGTCTTATGCTGCAGAAAACCCGATGATTGGTAGTTATTTAATAAGCAAACTCATACTCTTATGGTACGGGCTATGGAAGCAAACATTCATAAAAATTTGGAAAAGAAAGTCCCCCCCCCCCTTCTCATAAATTAAAAAATCTAAAAAAACCTGTGTCAACGCCGAACATTCCACATATTTAATAGCTTTAAGCTCTTTTGCCAATTTCTCTCCAAGTTCTGGCTGAATCGGTCTCTGCTTATTTTTAGCCAGCCTTTCAATTGTCGTCCCATCTTCACGCAAATCAACTTGTGTTCCAACGAGTAAAAAAGGCGTCTTTGGACTGTGATGAGCAATTTCTGGGACCCACTAAGATAACATTTTTGAAAGAAAATAAAGAAAAAGTTATTTTGATAGTCGAGGAAAGATGGGATGGGGTGGACATTCCAAAATGAACTTAAAAACCCAAAAATAGAAAATTTTGAAGATTTCAAGTCCTAACAAAGATTTCATGTTTTTTCGAGTATCAACGGAGCACAAGAGCTCTCCGAAGTTTTAATTAGGAGATCTCTAATTTCTAGTATCCTTCCTAAAACTTAAAGGGAATATTGGTCGTCAACATAAATAAAAGGAAAAACAAAAATTCCTAGGTTGGTTTTTACGAGTTTTAAGACAATTTAGAGACTTGTAAAGAAGGGAGTACCAATTCATTCGAATAATATGGTTTTGGGAAAAACTTTCTGTGGTCCTCTTTTTGTTGTAATCCAAAATAAGTTTTTGTGAAAATGGGAAGCCATTTTGATCCTTTTTATGAGTGAAAGGAGGGTGGTGCTTCCTTCTTTACAAGTACCATAATTTGGGGTCTTAATTAGAAACCGATAACATTAGGTCCTAACTGATACCCGAAACTCCTCAAAATATTTAAAAATCCTTTCCTAGTCCCCCTCCCCTCCAAAAAAATAAAAGATCCAAACCTTCTCTCTAACATTTTCATACGAAGCAGGCGCAACAACAGAAAAACAAACAAGAAAAACGTCAGTTTGTGGATATGAAAGAGGTCTGAGTCTGTCATAATCTTCTTGCCCAGCAGTGTCAAAAAGGCCCAAAGTGTAAGGTTCTCCTCCAATCATTACAGTCACCTTCAAAATTTATTTTTTTCAATTTCAAGAGGGCTTAGGCTTAGGGATAAAAAATATTCTTCAAGGAACAAAAACTCTTTCAGCTTTGTGGACTAACAATAAGAATGGAGAAATTTTCCCAGAAGCGTATTTCTCATTTTTTCCAAACACTTTTGAATGAGAAATTGAAGAAACTAAAAATTGGAAAAGTTGTTGGAAAATTGGAATTGATTTCCACTAACTTTGAAGAATTTCTTTTCAAATCCAAAATTGAATGAGAAATAGGTAAACAATTTAACTCCCTATCTTTAACAGAAAATTCAAGTTTTAATTTCCAAAAGGTTTTCCCAAGTTTGGACAAAAGTGGGGAAAAAACACACAAATTTGGGAAGGACGGATTGAAAAAGACGGGGTTTCTTTCGAGTAATCGCGTTGATCCCTCAGCCCTAAAACTTATTTAAAAAATAAAAACAAAACCGCATAATTATCAAAAACAGTCGGCACATATTCAGAAGGAAATTTATTTGTTGTGTAAGAAATTAACAAACAAGTTTTTCCAACAGCTCCATCCCCAACCACAACACATTTAATTGTTTGCATTTTTTTAATAACACCTGAAAAATCCTTAAAAATGTGTAAAAAATTAAAAAACCTTTTTTGCCTTTTAAAAATCAATAAATGATTAAAATGCAAAGATTAATATTCCTTAAACAATTTTTGCAAACAACGCTAAATGCAAAATAACAAGAAACGAGAGAAAGGCAAAATCGACACCTTCTGCCAATAACACATTTTGCCAATAAGGCTAAAATACTCGTTTTGCCTATAGGAGCGTTGACAAAATGTGATTTCTTAGCCTTATTGGCAGAATGTGGTATTGGTAAAATATGTATAGGGACAGGGATAAATGTAGAAAAAATAAAATAAACATAATGCCAAAAGAATAAAAAATAAAGCCAAAAACAAGAGGAGGATTAAAAATTTGAAATGATAGTTGATTAACGAAAAATTGACCCTGATCAGGATTGATTTTTGGATCATAACTTTCCTCAAAGTCAATATTTTAAATAAATTTATACAACAAACGAAACGAAAAATCACGATTACTTGTGGTTATCCGTCCATAACTTTTTAAAGGATAATCTGATCAAAATAGTCTTGTTAGGAAAAGAAAGAGAACATCGAGAGCTTTCGATTTTGTATAAGAATAATTTAAAAATGGATTAAAAATTTTTAAAAAATTTATGATTAAAAAAGAGAAGTCCTTAAGGAAGATAAAAATGGCAGGCAGTTTTATTTAATCAATGTTTCTCAGCAAAATTTTTTTTTGGATTTTGTCCACGAGGAAGAATTAATTATAATTTATTTTTGTAACTTTTGTTTATTTGTTGCGGGAATGAAAGAGAATAAAAATTGATAAATTTTTTGACAAAAATTTTTTTTTGGAATTTATGACATTACAAAAATGAAAGAATAAAAAAAATAAAATCAATTTGAGAAAATGAATCAAAATTGGGAATGATTCAACTAAATAAATTTATTTACACGTAACCAAAAATCACAGGGATATTTGAGTTTATATTTAAATTAATTATTATATTGGCCGTAAAAAGTAGGCTATTACTCGAATTCAAACATTTCAGACGGTCGGGTTTGGTATCAGTTTTTTATTTCCGAGACAGGTTTTACCGGCTGAAAATTCAAAAACTCCAATTCCTAAGGACTTTTTTTTGCCTAATTTAGAATTTGCTGAAATTAAAACCGACACCCTGCTTACCTCCATTCTGAGCAAAAAAAGGGACTTGGAGGATAAAGAGGATTTGTAAGTAATAATGCAGGGTTTAGTGATTGATTAATTATTAATTATCCAATGCTTCCTATATATAGTCTTCTCTCCCCTAACTCGCTGATATTCTACTTAGTCCCCAAACAATTAAATAAGCAGGGAAATGGTGAGTTATCGTAATGCGAATTACCCCATACGGGGAAATATATTTTTTGTTAACTACTATGTAGCTTATATTTTGTAAACTGGCTTATTAATTCTGATTTTTTTGACACTGACAATTTATGAGATAATACATATGACATTTAAATGATAGGTAAATTGACAAAATGATTGATCTCTTATAAAATTTAATCGGGAATTTTGACATCTCATTAAATTTTTTTTCAAAAATAATACCGAAAAAGTAAAGAAGGGGAGGAACTTTTTTGAATTTTTTTCTGTAACTTCACCTAATTAAAACCCCATAAACTTTTTCGAGTTTGGGGAACAGGGTTTTTAGGAACTTATTTACTTTAACTACCCACCCCAAGATTTTGCCGGATGT